TCGTCTTTCAGGGATATCTTCGTCATGTACTTCCAACCAAAATTTAATTATATATATTTAAAAAGATATTCATCGAAACCCAGCTATTATTTGTATCGGCATATATATTTTTTGTTCGTTTCTCTTTAAAATTCAAATCTATACTATAGAATATTGGAATTTTAGCATATAAGTGATAAAATAAACAGTTGCTTTATAATGGTTATGGGATCTAAAATAGTTACTTTTACACCCAATAAAAGCATTCTTTGCCGGAGCATAAGAGTCTCGATCGAAAAAATCGATTTTATTTACTTTTCATTTGTAAGTAGGTTTTCGAGACATCTCATATATTTTTATTCATTGTTTGTGCTCAGTTCTCCTGTATGAACATCGTTTCGTTAATAAGTATATTTTCTAAAATACCAGTATATCATTTATATATTAAATGTATTCCCGCTATTTTATTTAAGGTGATAAATGGACTGTTAGTTGAATAGTGCCACAATAAAACCTACATTTCCGTTCAATTTCAAATAGCCTTGCGATCTTAATGATGTATCCTATGATTTTGTTGGCAATCTAAAAATATTCCACCCCTTACCTATGCGATCTATTGGCAGCCTACTTATAAACAAAAATAAGTATTGTAGTCGATTATTTCATCGACAATTCTATCAAAGAACGTGACATGGAAAAATGCCTGGCTTTCCTTGAAATTCACATCTGCCCTTTAACCCAAGGACACTCACGGTTATGTGGCGGAGTGGTTAACGTGTCAAAATTATACCCTCCACTGTCATGTTTCGAGTCCCATTAAGGGTGCTAGGCATGATGAAACTGCAGTCCACCTTAAAGTAGAAAAGCAAGGCTATATCAAATTCAATGGAAATGTAAGGTCTACTCATATAATTGTGTGAAAAGTTCAACTATCGGTCCCCTTAACACCTTAAACAACGTGCCTTCACTTCATATTAAAGCGCTATCTGTGCAGCCAGCATTTTGCTTAAAATTCACCCTTTACCCTAGCTCCATCCCCCGACCTGAATCTTGGGAGTCTTCTCGGCGCCTACAGATCGACATTGTTGCCCTATGATTCGGCTCCACGGTACCCCATGACAGATTCTGATGACATTGGCGACCACCGTTCAGCCCTTGCATGTGAAAGGGATCCCGAATTGCGAATGTGTCGCCCGGACTACTGGTGTTCCGGCCAACTGGCGGCCAGGTTAGACCCCCTATCACCGGCCACGAGCAACGCTTCACCCGAATCTGTCTCCTCCTCCTCCGTTTCCGCCTCCAACGGCTCATCATACGAGGCCGCTTGCGAGGGTACAAATCAGTCGCCCTCCCCAAAGTTGCATATTTCGCAAGCTAGCTTCATAGCAACCGGCGGGACAACTGTGGAGCCCGAAGTCAGCCCGAATTCTGGCTGGGTCGATCCAGGGGCAATGGTGAGTAGGACGAATTCGCACTATTTGGTGCTAGAGGCGGCGGCCATGGCCCATTCATCTGTCGGCCAGTCTCTACGGCCCGATGCATGCGAGGAGGCAGACGTCTCCTTCGGGGCATACTCTCGCCTGCTCCACAAATCCTACGCCCCGACTCACCTCCACACAACTCTAAGGCAGCCTCCCAACGCCCATACGCCCACCCTCGGGATGCAGGCCCACTTTCAGATGCAGTCCTCCTCCTCCTGTACTCCCTTTGCGGTCACTGTTTGCCTGCCGAAGGATCGCATTTCCGTTCCACATAACCAATCTCCACAAGCAGCCCATCCCGTCAACGGGCACCCCGAGAGGATGTCCACTTTGCAGCCGGCCCCTCTTACCAACTTCTCTCCTCCTCTTTGCTTGGATCCGCCGATTCCGCGTCTTCTTCCATCTCTTCTTTCCTCTTCTTCTTGCTCGACCGATTCTTCTTCCTCTGCGTCTTCCTCCTACCTGCCGATCACTCCGGGTCACTCTTTTTCCCAATTCTGCGTCGGAGCGGATCCGATTCCCGTGGGATGTGACGACAGACTGACGTTTCTGCAGCATCCCGAGGCTGTCCAAGAAACTATTACTTATCATCGCATCACCGGTCCCGTGGTCGGCCCGGCAAGGTGGCGACAGCCGTCTGCTTGGCCGGAGTCGTCCAGTTCTGAGGCGGTTGGAGAAGGTGTCTACAACTGGATTTCGCCCGTCACCACCAAACCATCGGATGACTGCCCATCTGCCTGGACTAGTCCCGAAGATCGAGTCCAGACAATGGCCGCCTCCTCGGCGTCTCCGACCTCGGCCTTGGTTTCAGTTTCGGTCTTGTCGTCCGCCTCTTCGCCGTCGCCGTCGCCGTCAACATCGTCGTCACCGTCCTCTACTGTCGGCTCGACTCTGGAGGCTGGCGAGCGTGTAAACAGATGCCCAGTCTGTTCTCGAACTTATGCTCGACCCAGCACCCTGAAGACGCATCTTCGCACACACTCGGGCGAGAGACCTTATGCCTGTCCGGCCTGCCGGAAGACCTTTTCACAGGCGGCCAATCTGACCGCTCATCTGCGCACCCATTCGGGAGAAAAGCCTTTCCACTGTGCTCTCTGCCAGCGCCGCTTCTCTCAGAGCTCCTCGGTCACCACGCACATGCGCACGCATTCGGGTGAGCGACCCTATCGCTGTCGCCACTGCCGGAAGGCCTTCTCCGACAGCTCCACCCTCACCAAGCATCTGCGAGTCCACACCGGCGAGAAGCCCTACCAGTGCCGCTACTGCCTTGTCCGATTCTCCCAGTCTGGCAACCTGAATCGGCATATCCGCGTTCATCTGACTACGGGATCACTGACCGTCGTCAAACCAACCGATTGACTCCACGCTCCGAACCTCTTCATGTCGTACATACAAAACGCCAATAATCATGCGGTACTCAAGTCTCAGAATATCCACCAACTCGACGCTCCCGAAGAGGCCTTCAGGTCTGCGGAAAACGCTTCGACAAGACAATAGCCCAGAAGAGTGTGCCGGATGTTGCCTTGAGGGCATAATTAGGGTCCGAGACTGGGCATGGTTTACGCGGTCTCCGGTGTATAATGCCGGGAAAGTCGCGTGTTCCACTCATGACTTTACTCAACAAAATTCATCATTTCTCCAGAATCACATTCATCTTTTTTAATTTTACGCTTCCATCGCCACCACCACCACCCTCATAATCTGTAGCAGCAGCAAAGGTAGCACTTATTTGCTATGTCTCCCTCACCCTCGAGGTTCTATTACTTTTTGGCTTTCTCGTCACCCTCTTATAAAGTGTATCCACTTTTTAATGCAGCCATGGTCTACTTGTTTCAGAATAACCCTTTGTCATCTCAGGAATCGGGAGCTAGTGACACTTGATGTACTCTGTAACTCATCTTATTTTGAGGTTATGCTGACCCAGAGTCGCTGTGGCATCACAATTTTTCGCCAATTTATTTATTTGTGTGTATGAGTGTGTAGACAGGGTTGGCTAAAGTTAGGATATACTTTACGCCACAATGCTAATAACGTTGGTGTCTTATCTCTTCCAGATGACATTGAGAAAGTAACACTTCTCAGTTCCGTGATTGTGTCATTCAACTATTTCCTTGGCGCCCAAAGTGTCAGGCCCGCTCTTGGTCACACATAACTTGTAGGCCATTCCGAAGTAGCCCAATACATACAGAACACATGTATCATTTCCTCGCCTAATACTTCATCTTATGTCTCTGTAAGTTAAGGCCTCTTACTGACCTTGCTTTAGCCTAGCTTGACATGGTTGCTGTGGTGACAACAAGGGAACCCTCATATCAGGTGCATTCTGAGTACAAGTGATTCACCAAACCTCTTTTCTGTATCTACCCTCAGTGATGCCACCACTCGACAAGCTTGGTTTCCCATTCACAATCTTGCCCCCCTGTCTGAACTTGACTTCGGCCTCCTTATTCCATCAATTGGACTCGTACGGTCAAAACGATAAAAGCACTTATTAATGAGGTAATTCGTAAACCATATCCGACCAAAGTGCATTTGATGCCTTTTCCATGACGTTGGGGTTAGAGCTTTAAACTTACTCTTTTATTCACTGTCGACATTCGAGTACCACCTAGAGTCGACCAGTGATGCACCTTTATTCTAATTTTTTATAACTTTCTGAAGTCACTCATTACTCCTTCGCTAATATTTGTCTTCGCATACTTTATATTACAAATCTACTGACAGGTACTTCAGTAGTACGTTCGGTTCGATCCTTTTAAAAAACGCACATAACTTCC